TAGATATTTTCAAGAAAGAGCTTAGCTGTTTCTTCACCTATGATAGATTTTGTACATGGTACAAAATGTGCCATTTTGGTAAAACGATCTACTATTACGAATATAGAATCATAAGAATCTGAGATTGGAAGATTCGTGATGAAGTCCATAGAAACAGAAGACCATGGTTGTTTTGGAATGGGTAATGGCTGAAGAAGTCCAAAAGGTAGATGACGAGGAGTTTTTGATCTTGAGCAAACATCACATGATTATACAAAATCTTTGACTGCCTTCCACATTTGAGGCTACCAAAAATCCCTAGATATCAGCTCCAAAGTCTTATTATATCCAAAATGTCCTACTGCTGGGAAGTCGTACCGAACTTGAAGAACACGTAAACGTGCTTTTCCTTCTGGAACATATAGGCGTTCTTCAAAATAGAGTAGATTATTCTTGAATTTAAATTTAGATGGATCATGAGATTTACAAGAATTATTCTTGATATCATGAACAAGAGGATCTGAAGACATACTTAATTGGACTTGCTTAAGAAAAGTTAAATCAACAGTCAATGTTGATTTTATTGCCTAAAGATGAAATTGCTTTGGCTTCAAGAGAACGGTTCTTTATTGCTCAAAAGCTGTATCTCCTTCTTTTGGAGCAAGATAAGAACCTCTAGACAAGGCATCGGACAAACCTTGTTTTCGTGGCCGATAAGTGATGATGAACTCGATTCTTGATAAAGACATGCTCCAACAAGCTTGACTACGATTTAATACGCATGCTGACATACAATATTCGAGGTTCTTGTGATCCGTATACACGATGACTGGACTGGAAGCGCCTTCTAGATAATGATGCCATTCTTAAAAAGAATCCATAATTGTAAGAAGTTTTTTGTCGTGGATCTCATAATTGATCTCTGTTGCTGAGAATTTTCTTGAATGAAAGGCTACTGGATGAAGTTTGTCATCTATTCCCATTTCTAATAAAACCGCACCCAGAGCAAAGTCTGATGCATCTGTTTTTATAAAGAATGCTTTGAAAAAATCAACAGGATACAAGATTGGTGCAAAAACAAATGTTGTCTTCAAAGATTCAAAAGCAACTTCTGCTTCTTGATTCCATTGGAATTTGTCTTTACAAGTCAAATGTGTAAGTAGAGCTGCAACTCGAGAGAAGTCTTTGATGAAGATCCGATAGTAGTTGGCAAATCTCCAAAAAAATTGGACATTTCTTACCATTTTTGAGATCTTTCAATCTATAATAGTTTAAACTTTCTTAGGATCCATCATAAGTCCATCATTTGAAATGATGTAATCTAAGAAATTGATTTGACTAGTATAGAATAGACACTTTTCTATCTTGGGATAGAGTCCTACATCTCTTAATTTTTGTAACACACGACGAACATGAAGTTCATGTTCTTTTGGATTCTTAGAATAGATCAAGATATTGTCTAGATAACAGACTAGAAAATCGTCCAAAAATTCTCGAAAAACATCATTCATTAGATGTTGAAAAGCTGTTGATACATTTATAAGTCCAAAAGGCATGACATTGTATTCAAAATGTGCATACCTGGTTCGAATCGCAGTCTTCCATTCATCTCTTTCTTTGATGCGTACTAGATTGTATGTTCCCTGAAGATCTATTTTTGTATAGATTTTAGCTTCATTCAGCTGATCAAGAAGTCCAGATATTAAAGATAGTGGATACCTATTCTTGATGGTAATCTTGTTGAGTCCTTGATAATCAACACACATCCGCAATGATCTATCTTTTTCTTCACAAATAGAATTGGAGCTCTTGCCAGAGATTTAGAATGGCGTATGAAATTCTTGGCTAGATTTTCTTCAATATACTCCTTGAATTCAGTCAACTCATTTTGTGATAAACCGTAGATTGGTCCGAATGGAGGTTGTGCTCTTTCTTGAAGGTCAATTGAACAATCATAGGGATGATGTTCCGGGAGTGTATCCGTATTCTTTTTTTTGAATACATCATGAAATTCTTGATATTGGCTTGGAATGTCACTTGAAGTCTTTTCATCAGTAGGAACAAGTGTGGCATAAATAATATATGGTGATTCTTTCATAGCAGCATGCAAGAAAGCTTTGCACCTATAAATACGAGTTTAATTGAACTGGACTTATAACTCTCTACTTGATTAACTATACTGTTAGTTATACTTTTAGAGAAAGTAAGAGTTCAGGAAATCTAATCTATTTGAGGGTTATATTTTTCTAACCACGATAAACCTAAAATGATTGGATTAGAGGGAGATCTAATGATATTAAATACTACAAAACTATTATGACTATTGATTATTACTTCTATAGGAAGGATTTCATGAGTAATATCTCCAGAAGACAATGGACGACCATCTATGACTTCTATATGAACAGGTTTAGTTTTCTTTACTAAAGATATGCTATGTCTTTTAGTAAATTCTTCATCTAAAAAATACACTGAGGCTCTCGAATCTAACAAGGCAGAGACTTTGTAATGTTTAGGTCCTAAAATAGTATTTAATATAAAACAAGAAGAGGGCTCTGAGGAGAAAATAGGACCTTTACTAGATGTTGTGCAAGGTTCCAACCGCACGGTTCCTATTGTAGTTGGACAAACTTGTTTTTGGACATATTGTCTTCTTTTACAGCCATACTCCTCATTTTGTGATTGCATCATTTCTTTGGACAATGTTGAGCAGTGTGCTTTGGTTCTCCACAATATAAACATAATCCTTCTTGACGACGACGAGTCTTTTGTTGCTTAGTAAGAGGTTTGAAACGTACTGCATCAATTTGCATATCCTCTACTCCCGAATGTATGTGTTGAAGAGATGTTGGTGTTGCCATTGAATTATAGTAACGTTGAGGTCCACATGTACGATTCTCATATCGAAATTCAAAAAGGTGATTGTCGCACTTCACAGCAAAGTCAATTGCTTGACTCAATGTTTGAAGATTAGGTAAGTTGAACATTAATTTTTTTACCTCATATTGTAATCCATAGAGAAATTGGCTAATAAGTGCAGCATTATCCCACTTGATATCAAGTACAAGTTGTCAAAATTGTGAAGCATACAACGTTACTGATCGATTTTCTTGTCGTGAAATACGGTTCTTATTGGTTGCAACACGAATTGCATCATGTTCTCCATACATGGATCGAAACTCTGCTAGAAAAGCCTCTAGATTATCCAATATTGGATCTCGTCATTCAAGAAAAGATGAAAACCACGATAGTGCTGAATCTGAAAGAAGTGTACCAATGAATCTAACTTGTGATCTTGGAGTTGGATAGCTTTGGGATTGAAGTTCAATCACAAATTGTACTTGATTGATAAATCCTCGAAACTTGGATCTGGTGCCATCAAACTTCTCGGATAGGGCAATTATTGGTTCTCTAACATTGGAAGGACATTCCACCATAGGATAAAGGACATGGTTTGGTGCAGATGTTGAAGCAATTCCAACCATTTCTATATCTTCACTTCCTGCCAATCTTGTTGCTCCTTGTGGTGGTAAATTGAGTTGATGCATTGCAAGCATTAACTCCCTCAATTGTTCTTGCATTTGTGCCATTGCATTCTTCATTTCAACAAGTTCTGCTATGATAACACTTAGAAAAGAGAAGATATCTAATATCGCTCAAGACAAATAGAAGAGAGGACTTGAGAACAAAGAAAATACTAAGAACAATATCAGTTTAGAAGAAGGTAATCTCCAACTCCTAATATGCTTATATCTTATCAAGAAAAAGGAGTAATCCACTCTTAATCAAGATTAGACAAAGCTCTGATATTGTAGGTGTACTCTTGTCAATTTGTCAAGGACAAGAACTCGATGAAAAAACAATCCTGACAAGTGAGCCTTCACTCAAAGAAAGGTAATAAAATATAAATAAATAAATATGTATATTGAAAGAGAAATTAGAATGGCTATTGCCAAAAGACAAGAAAACTAGAGACCCTTGAAACTAGACTAGAAGCAAGAAAGGAGTTGACAAGAGTGAAGAAGGCTTCACTCTTGTCTCTATATATACTATCTAACTAGGGGCTACGTGGTGACATTCTATAGGACCTCCAATATGTGTTGACTTTGTAAGACACATGCCTTGACTTACAAGGCAAGTTTTTCTATGTGTGGGCCACATAGTTAGGTTGATCTTCAAGCTAACAACATGTGTGGCACATGGCCAACTTGTTGACCACGTTTCTAATCCAAAAAGTCAATTAAAGACACCTATGAAGTCAAAACAATGTCTATAAAGCTTCTAGGAAGCTTCCATATTAAATACTATAGAATTAACTTATTTTTACCTACTTTTACTTACTTCTACCCATTTGTATAAGTAATTACTAGCTTACATGAGTATGTCTGTGACAGTAACACATCTAAAAAATAATCAATATATTCTTAAAAACAATGATTTGTAATTTTTTTAAAATTTAATCTTCAACAAAAATATAAACTTCTAACATTAAAATAAAGTATTATGTAGAAACTACAAATAGTTAAAGACCACATAATATTACACTTATAATAAGAAATTAAAGAAAAAAACTTTAGAATTTGTTACAATACTATTACATTAAAAAATTGAATCAATAAAAGTATATTATCAAATCACTAATAATTAATATAAAGCCTATACAAAATACAAGAATCAATATACATATATATATATATATTAATAGGCTTTACTAATATATTATTATTTTATACCATTTAGGCATATTATTTAGTAAAACTGTATAACAATTTTTAACATAAATAAAAATCACTAAACATCATAAACAGATTTATCATAAACAAATTTATTTCATGACATGCAACAATTATGTCATCAAATCAAAATAAATATAAGTAGAAATTAGCCTTCAAATACATCATATAATCATATCCTATGTCATATAGCTATGGTGTATACCTTAACAACAAGAAACAATCTAGCATGATTATAACTAGAGAAATGGAATGATTATAACTAGAAAAATGGAATGTAGTAGGACATAATGAAAGAGCATAATTAGATTCAGATTTGAAACTTATTAATAAAATAAAAACAGATCTTGATATAAAGACAAAGATCAAAGAAGTCCTTAATCTATATAAATGTGGAGGCACTTGAAAAACAAAATAACCTTTTAAAATTTTGTTTTGCTTAGTAGGATATTTGTAGGCATAGTGATTTATGATTCTTGACATGTGGCCATAAAAACAAACCACTCTACCTGTTCACATTAGTCAAATGAGATAAGGGATTAGCGATCTTTGCTAGGTTTGCTACTTCCTGTGGTCGAAGATTTCTCGCATTTTGTACGTCAGAATGGGCTTCATCACAGCCACCAGGCGGCACAAGCCATCGCCCACGAGGTCGGCAACGACGCACGCCGCGTCCTTGTATGCCTCGGGTCGCTCCTCGTACAGCAATCCCTTGTCGTCGCACACCACGCGCGACTGCAGCTCTGTTACCAGCAGCTGTTTCGCATCCGGGTATTGAGCTTTACCCCCCACTCGAGCTGCGTTGCGTGCCAAACGACGGCCTGCTCCATGCGCTAGCGACCACCCGCTTCTCGCTGCTTGCTTCGGAGCGTTGGGAAGAACGAGGTAGCTCAACGCTCCTCGTGAACCGGGAATCATCACTGCACCTTGGTCGGTTGGGGCAGCTCCTTTCCGGTGGAGGTAGATCTCGCCCTCTACTGGCTCGCTCACTCCCGCGTCCGTGAGGTTTTGATCCTGCATCCAGTGATTGCAGGTGAGAGCTTTGGAGGAAGTAGGATTGTGGTGTATGGGAGTATCTTAGTGGGATTAGAAAGATGAGAGATTACTCGAGGTAGGAACGAGCCTGACCTCGGAGGTTTTGACGACGTTGTTGTGCGTAATGTCCAGGAGGAACCGAGTACACTCTCCGTTCAACTGATCGACGAGCCTCGTGGCGATAATGCGGCGGTTGATCTTTGCCCATTTGCAAGCGTTGTCGTGAGCTTGCAAGTAGCTCTGTGCTTCTTCAGTTTCCTGCAAGGTGTTTTGAGTCACAACACTTGGGTCAAAAGTAGGAATAGCAATCCAGTAAGGAATTTAGATGACCGTATGTGATTGGAGTGTTTCAGCGTGCACCTCATAGGAAAAGAAAAATAAATAAATAAATAAAAATAAGGGGGGGGGGGGGGGGTGGGGATTTCTATATTACCAGATCTGTGCCGGCACCACCATGTTGCTTCGAATACATGCTTAGAATCGATTCACCATATCCACGTGATCCTGAGTGCACGCAAATGTACACCTTCTTTTCTGTCAAGCCAAAAGTTGCTGCTGCTTCTTCATTTTCTATTCGCTCCACGACCTAGTCAAAGAAAATTTATCGTAGAAGCTGGTCAAGTAAGAAAGAACTTTCAGAACTGGAGTGCGCCGCAAATTTCACTTCTGTAAGTATAGACATTCTTGAAGTCAGGAAATCTATATTTAGCTCCTCAAATAACATCCATATATATATAACTCTATGTACTAGTGTCTTTCACAACTAAACTGGCTAACTGAACAACTGTACTCAAAGTAGATATACCTGCAACTCGGCGAAATGGTTACCGCGACCCACTGTCCCAAGACTCTCACGGTCAAATTGAGTAGGCTCGACTCCAGCCCTTTCCAGCATCACTACACATTACCGATACATTAGAGGAAGCATCAACAGCAATATCAAGAATTGTGGAAAAAAGTATCTCGCAATTGGAAATCAAGCGATAACATAATTGTAGGGGCGGAGAGTGTTGTTAAAAAAGCATCAAGGGCCAACTTACAAGAGTAATCACCATCCCATGGTTCCTCAAGCTGTATACACTCAGCCCACCGATCTAGTGTCCTCGGCTTGCAAGCAGACGACGAAGTCAGGGATGTCTCAACCAAGAGCATACCGCATCCAATGTCAGATCCTACCAAGGAAGGGTATATCAGGCCATTTGTAGCAATTGTTGCACCAATGGGGCATGAAGCACCAGCATGAAGGTCAGGAAGGCCAACAGCCAGGACAACGCCAGGCAAATTTGCCACATAATTCAGTTGTTCAATAGCGGTAGCATCGACGAGGCTCTCATTCGCAATGACGACCAATTTGGCGTCGGCCGTTTTCCTGGTACCTGCATTATTTATCGTGCTGGTTTCAGTTCTGTTGAGATAACTAGCTCAAGACAACAATTTCAGCCTCCCATGCGAATTACAGGGTCATACTCTCCTTGAGATCAAAGCGCAATCACGCTGCATGATTTGGAATGAATGACACACATCATGTTCACATTGGTGTGGGCCTGAGTCACAAAATGCAGGATATTTGGGAAGTAAGACAATTCAGAGGGAAAGGAGAGGGAGACCTGTGGCGGGCGCGTTTTTGATAACGCAAGGCTCTCCCGACGAAACAAAGAGGGTAGCACGATTTACAACGCTAGTGCTTGCATCTTCTTCAGTTAAAAGCTCTTTGCCGCTTTTGTCAAAAATCCTCACCTGCAGAAGCATATTTTTCAGTAAGATGCGAATACACTCTTCAAATCATATCGCCTTCAAACCCTAAATACGCCCCCCTGCTGCATTCAATTTGATTGTACGTTGAAGTGTGAGCAAATTACTTTGAAAGGGCGAATTCGCATTTTGTTGGCCGCGGCCTGTCTTATCTGCTTCAAGAGGTTTCCACTCTCATCATCACCTTTCAGCAGCACGAGGCATGAATCCGTGTGACGAGCATTGCGCACCAGCGTGAGCCGCAAACCCTTGCGCTTACTATCATCTCCGTCTTCTTTGTTTTCCTCCATGGCGAACGGATCCAACTCTTCACAATATGAACAAAACTTACTCTCCAACACGACTAGTGACCTCGGAGCACACTTGACCTCGCACTTCAACTGCCGTAATGCTCAGTACTCCTCTCTCCACACAGCTTCTGTAGACGGTTACCGAACGTCCACGAGCTCAAATCAAGCACTAGAACCTTGAATTTGAATTGTACAAGCTCACCGAAGTCGCTATTCCCAGACGGAATTGAACAAAGTACCCATTAAACGGAGCAGGCTGTGGTCAAAAACTTGGAGGAAACGCCACGAATGCATTGGCTTACGTTGTGCTCAAGTCACCAAGAATAGAATCGCAACTGAAGTGCGGAGACACTTTCGTGTCGAATGCCATCACCGACACATTTTCATCAGGCCAAGCTTCGCCTTCAAAGCGAATTTGGACAATCTGAAACACATAAAGAATATACACTGGAATATCTGTCCTTGTGTATTTTCATGCACACTATCATGCTTGAATTTCTATTACGAAATAATGCATGTATACAGCTATGTTATCATCATTTTAGATACAAATACATAAGCATTAATAGAATTTTGAAATTTGACTTCTTGCTTGCTTCCACAAATATATATTATTTATTTATTTATTTATTTATATTCTTGTCATATTCTGTGTTTTGTTGGTGACAATTGAATATTTGTTCTTTTCATTGTTTGTGTTTATTTTTTTTTTGTAAGAGAAGTGTGAAGTATGATGAACGCAGTACAATATTCAATTGACCTTTGTAAAAAAAACAAAAGAAATCATAACCAAACCCTAACCAATTCCAAAGAAATCCTAAATAAACCCTGATTGAATCATAATCAAATTCTACAAAATTCTAATTAAATCCTAATAAAATCTTACAAAATCCTACCAAATTCTAATTAAATGTTCAATAAACTATATAGCAGATTTAAAACCTCAATAATTACTAATTTAACCATTAATTTCAATTCAAAAATTTCACATTTTCAATCTATTGATTGACAACAAGTACACAAAATTTGAAGAGAACCAAATTTATAGATTGGAAAGAAAAAATCTTTAAATTTGCTTAAGTTTTGGCTATTCTCCTTTTCTAACCTTAATGTATTCTAATGTCAATAGCTCCCCTTTGCATCATTTACTTGTTCTCAAATTTTCAAAAAATCAACTATCAATTCAAAAAAAAATACAAAATATAAAATAAACATTTTAATCTAATCAACAAAATGCTCAAAATCATAGAAATATTAATTAATCTTCAAAAAAACCCTATCAAGTTTGCTTCCCAACCACACTCTTTCATCAACAAAAGAACTCCACATTTTCTATAGATATGTGGTTTTGTGCTTTGAGGTCTAATTTCAACCTTCATTTATAATTGGTCCTCTTAGGATATCAATCTGAGATTTTTTAGGCAGTTTTTGCTCAAAGCTATTCTTCATTTTTACCTAAAGATGCTCATAATGTTATTTTTATTAACCTACTTTGTTTTGTTTTGTCTTGTTAATGGCCTAAAAGAGTAAGTAGAAGCTTTTTTTATAAAAAATGTAATATTAATACTAAATTATTTTTTACTACCTTCTTAACTTTTATGTATGTTTCCAAAATAATTTGCTACTTTATTTTTAATTAAATTCTATTATAATGTAATCATTCTTTTTCTCTTTTACCTTATAGCTATCTTACAACACAATAACATTTTCATATAATTTAATTCTACTAGGCATTCTTTTAAAATTATGTAGGTTTTTATTGAATTTTTTAGAACTTTTAGAAATATACTCTAAAAAATCTTATCTATAATTATACAAATTTATATAATTTTTATAATAAAACTTAAATCAAAATTTTCAATCTTAACAACTAAAAAATATTGTAGAAGCAAAATTAAAAGAAAAGAAAAAAGAAAAAAGAAACATTTTTTATATTTGATTAATTTTGTAATATAAAATCTTTTTTGTATTTTGATACAATCATCTTCTTGAGATGTCAGGGACAAGAACTCGATGAAAGCTAAAGAGTAAGTGAGACTTTTCTCAAAAAGAAATAGGACAAAATAGAAATATGTATATTAAGAAAGAAACTGGAATGGCTATTGCCAAAATACAAGAAAACTAGAGATCCTTGAAACTAGACTAGAAGCAAGAAAGGAGTTGACAAGAGTGAAGAGGGCTTCACTCTTGCCTCTATATATACTATCTAACTAGAAGCCACGTGGCGATGTTCTATAAGACCTCCAATATATGTTGACTTTCTAGGCCACATGCCTTTGCTTGCAAGGCAAGTTTTCTATGGATGGACCACGTAGTTAGCTTGTTCTTTAAGCTTCCAACATGCGTGGCACATGGCTAACTTGTTGACCAAGTTTCTAACCTAAAAGTCAACTATAGACTCCTATAAAGTCAAAGCAGCGTCTATGAAGCTTCTAAGAAGCTTCTCTAGAAGATATTACACAATTAACCTACTTTTACATACTTTTATCTATTCATATAGGTAATTATATGTATGTCCGTGACATTACCCCCCCTTCTAGGGACGAGTTCCACGAGGAGCGGTGATTATATATTGAGAAAATCTAATATGCGGCGAATTGTATTTGCTACATACTCTGATCTTTGTTCTCTTCGAAGATAGTTGATGGGTCTTCTTAGCCATCGATAGTGTCCCATTCCAGGGCGAGAAGACCACCCTGTTATTTGATCACTGTTGAGGCCTTCATAACTTCCTTCAAATAATACATTTGAAACACCATCAAGAGTCGTTCCTATCTCCAATAATATCACCAAACATCGAGAATCTCTTCCAAGGTTGTGATACCAAACGCGTTGTATCTCACCATCTATTCGAGGAAGAACATGTCGTTCTTGAGGGTCTTCATCTCGGTTGCGTCGTCTTGAAGGTTGTGACAATCGCAATGTCTCATCCGGTAAGTCAGCAAACGAAGGTTCTTGAGTTGAATCCGCTGGTTGTTGGCTCTCCATCTAATTAGCGTCACAAAATGTAAAGAAGTTATAAACAAGGATAGGAAATTGAATGTTATCTTGCCTCAATCTTGTCTCTTTTATAAGAGAGGTTTTCATCTTGGTTTTGATGGATGTCGTTGATGAAAAACTTTGACTTTAGCTGATGCATTTGCTAGATTCCTGGATGGCTCCCATGTGCGCTCACTAATATCATATCCGCACCAATGAACAAGATATTCCAGCTTATTTCGGCGCCGCCTTGAGTCTAATATCTCTTCCACCTCAAATTCTTCATTATTATCTACTTCTATAGGAGGCGGTGGCATTTGTCTTCTTCCTTGTATATCCACTGTCTTATATGGTTCAAGAAGAGACACGTGGAATACAGGATGGATCTTCATTGACTCCGGTAGATGTAACCGATATGCAACTGGGTTGATCTGTTCAGAAACAGAAAAGGGGCCAAGCCTACGATAGTCCAATTTGTCACAAGGTCGAGTGGTCTTGATATTGCGACGAAGTAGCCATACCTTATCACCCACGTTGAGTTGTAGTTGCTCTTTACGATATACATCTGCATTTATCTTTTGTCGTTCTTGAGCTTTCTTCAACTGCGCCTTCATTATTGCATGTAACTCTGACAACCGATTTGCCATATCTTCTGCTGCAGGATTATCAACTTTTGAAAAATCAAAAGTATCAAGTCATGGATGATAGCCATAATTGGCAAAGAAAGGTGTCTGTTGCGTGGAGGAATGTACCGTATTATTATAAGCAAACTCTGCCAATGGCAGAAGGTTTGTCCAATCATCTTGTTGGTAGTTGATGGTACACCTTAAATACTGTTCCAAGACTTGGTTTACGCGCTCTGTTTGTCCATCAGTTTGAGGATGGAAAGCTGAAGATAGCTTTATGTCCACTTTTAAAATCTTGAAAAGAGTCCTCCAGAATCTCGACACAAATTGAGTTCCCCTATCCGATATGATATCTTTAGGTAATCCATGATAGCGATAGATATTATCAATGAAAAGCTTAGCTGTTTCTTCACCTGTGATAGATTTTGTACATGGCACAAAATGTGCCATCTTGGTGAAACGATCTACTATCACAAATATAGAATCATAAGATCTTGAGTTTGGAAGATCTGTGATGAAATCCATAGAAACAGAAGACCATGGTTGTTCTGGTATAGGTAATGGCTGAAGAAGTCCGTAAGGTCGATGTCGAGGAATTTTTGATCTTGAACAAATATCACATGATTGTACAAAGTCTTTGACTGACTTCCACATTTGTGGCCACCAAAAATCTCTTGATATGAGTTCCAGAGTCTTATTATATCCAAAGTGCCCTGCTGCTGGAAAGTCATGACGTGCTTGAAGAACACGCAAACGTGCTTTTCCTTCTGGAACATATAGGCGTCCTTCAAAATATAATAGATTATTCTTGAACTCGAACTTAAAAGAATCATGAGACTTGGAAGAATTATTCTCGATATCATGAACAAGAGGGTCAGAGGACATACTGGACTGGATTTGCTTGAGAAAAGTTGAATCAACAGTCAATGTTGATTTCACTGCTCGGAGATGAAATTGCTCCGGTTTCAAGAGGACCGTTCTTTGTTGCTCAAAAGCTGCATCTCCTTCTTTTGGTGCAAAATAAGAACGTCTAGACAGGGCATCGAACAAACCTTGTTGTTTTCCTGGCCGATAAGTGATAATGAACTCGAATCTTGACAAAGACATACTCCAACGAGCTTGACGACGATTCAACACGCGTGCTGACATGAAATACTCGAGGTTCTTGTGATCTGTATATATAGTGACTGGACTAGAAGCGCCTTCTAGATAATGATGCCATTCTTGAAAGGAATCCACGATTGCAAGTAGTTCTTTATCGTGGATCTCATAATTGATCTCGGCTGCTGAGAATTTTCTTGAATGAAAAGCTATCGGATGAAGTTTGTCATCTGTTCTCATTTGTGATAAAACTGCACCCAAGGCAAAATCCGATGCGTCTGTTTCCATAAAAAATGCCTTGGAAAAGTCAACACGATATAAGACTAGTGCAGATACAAACGATGTCTTCAAGGCTTCAAATGCTGCTTCCGCTTCTTAATTCCATTGGAATTTGTCTTTATTGGTCAAGCGTGTAAGTGGAGCTGCAACTCGTGAGAAGTCTTTGATGAAGATCTGATAGTAATTGGCAAATCCCAAGAAACATTGGACATCTCTCACAGTCTTTGGAATCTTCCAATCCATGATTGTTTGGACTTTCTTAGAATCCATCATAAGACCATCATTTGAAATGATGTATCCTAAAAAGTCAACTTGAGTAGTGTGAAATACACACTTTTCCATCTTGGCGTACAATCCTGCATCTCTGAGTTT